GAGTACTTCGAATATCATACGCTTTGTTGTAAATTCTTTTACCTTTGGGAACTATTGTTAGAGACGAGGCTATGATTCAATTGGCAAAAATCGAATCAAATTTTTTTAGCTTAAGTTATTCTTTATATATTTTTCTATAATATCGCAAAATTTGAAAGCTCCAAGTTAAGGTATCCGACTACGTTCGGAACCGTGATTTTAAAAAGTGCATAAATGGATAATTTTCAAGATATTTAGTGTCACTTAGATTACAATACATGTATAAAATTGTTTTAAGGAAATTTTGACAAAAAAAAAATATTTAAATACAATGTTTCGGGTTTAAATAAAAAAAAAGTAAAATTTAAACTGGTTTATCTTTAGAAAAGCAAAAATGACTAGTTTTTCTCCATTTCAAATGGCTAGGCTTATTTTCTTTTGTGCCAAATGTTTTATTTTTTCCCCAACTGTACCTGCAACAAAAATTGGGTATCCATTTTGAATCAAAATAATATTCATTTTTTTAAAAAAATAGTTGAATTTAGAATTTATGAATTTTTTATGGAATTTTTAATATGCGTTCATAAAAAAAGTATTTCGTGATTATCAATCATGTTATCACAAAACCCATATCAATTTTTGTTATGCATTGTTCGACATATTTGTGAATCAAATTTCACGTGTGTACTTCAGTTATTGTTGGAGTAACACATTTTAAAATCACTGAATTTTTTAATTTTTCTTAAAAAAAATTAAGTAATGTGTACCCCCAATTATCTTCGTTTTTGAGAAAAAATAAAATTTTTTGTAAGAGCTTAAATGATATCTCTCTCTCCCATGCATAAGAAATTTTTTAGTTAGAAATAATGTGTAGCTAGTAATTAATTAATTTTACCATAATTAAAAATCGTCAAATGCATACATGAACCTATAATTACTCTAACCGTCAGTGTCTTGATTCAAAAATGATTCGTCACTCCCTGTATCACAACTGACTTTGAATGGATGCCGGCGTCGCCATGTTCCCCGCACGTTGTCGTCTTCCGTGCCATCCAATACCTTTGTTATGCAGCATTTTTTTTTTTTTTGAAGAATATGTAAAAGAGAAGAATGTAAAAGAATTTTTAAAGACTGTTGAACACTGACAAGAAAAATTTACATCATTTTGTTTACGCCATCGACGTATATTTGTTACAATCTTGTCAAACTTGCAGTGGCCGCTGCTGTGTTCTCTTTTACACATAAAATTGCCTTCTTTTTCATACTTGCGTCATATTGAACTCGTCATGATGCTATTACCGATATCTTTGTTGTTAAGGTATTTAAAAGGAAGAACATATACAAAATTCGAGCTGATGACGATGTTTAGGATAGACTGAATACTGGAGATAAACTAAGGAATGAGACGAGTGTCAACGATGCAATTGGACAAAATGAACTGTTACACTTTTCCTTTTGAAAAGAGTGGAAACTCAATTTCCCCCATCCAAGAAATGTTTTGCCTTGTTTTTCATTTCCTACTATTAACTCACTCTCTATATATTTATTTATTTACCGTGGTGGAATTTTCAATCGTTCATAAAATACATTTTAAAGCGCACAATTGAGCTGAAATTTTATATACAGGATTTTATTTTGGATGACAATACAATAATTTAATTATAATTAATAAAAATTAATTGATTAAAACTAATTATTTAAAAAATTACAAATACAGCCACGTTGGCATTCTTTTTGGCGACTTGTGTCAAAACTTGAAAAGGTTTTTTTTTCTCACGTTTTGAAGCATTCAGTTGAACTGAAATTTTATATACACGATTGTTTTGGATGACGATACGATACTTTAATGATAATGAATAAAAATTAATTACCACTTAATGTTGTGATTCTGTCATATGTATATACATATTTATATTAATTGTAACTATTTAATAAAAAGTAGCTAAAATAAAATTTTTCTTTAATCTAAGTAGGAATTGACTTAATGTTTATATATATATATATTTTACTTGTTTTTGCTGAAATTCTATCCTTAATTTTTTTAAAAACTGGAATGGATTCTTTAATATTTTCTCTTGTTATATCAACTGTTCTTGCTCAACATAATGAGGAGAAAATTTATATATCTGATACATTTCAACAAAAAAATAGTGCTGTCAAACAGGTACCAGAATTTATCTGATATGTTGACAAAAATAATGCGTGAAATCCATCCCATGATGTCCCAACTGACTTTTTTAGAGGCATCGGCTTTTTTGATGTGCCTTAACTGGTTTTGTTTTAACACTATTTACCCCACTTCAGCATTTTTTTCTACATTTTTTTTTTATCCTTTTGGAATCCTTTCCCTTTTTCTTTTACTTTACGTCGGAATAGATCAGTTCCATTTAAATAAAAAAAAATGATGTATCAAAATGACATAATGAAGATTGATTGGTAATGTATTTAAGTCTCGATTTCATCAAAAAAAAATGTCATGTTGTAGAATAATAATTGCTATATTTTAAAATTAATTTGAGTTCAAAGTTCTCATGTGCCGTGATATGGAATTTCTTTTAAGTGCCGTTTGATTATCATATTTTAACATTTCATGATTCATTGAGCTTTGGTCCGTATTCAGTAACTCTGATTTGATTCTTAATTAAACTGCATGAAATGTGTGAAATCCTATCAGAAAGATCATACAACAGCGTTTTTTTAGAATCTTCTTAGCTAGAAATACTTCCAGAAGATCTTATGTAGATATTCCGAGATAAAATATACATTACAATAATTTTTTTTTTTAAATTATAACTCTTTATTTTACTTCAAGATGACAATAACCTTAAATTAAGACTATAATTGTAAGGACAGAAGATATGTGGGTGTACAAAGATTGCATTTTCTCTCTCTCTCTCTACGTGTTGGAAAAAAGCGTCTTGCTCATTCATCATGAGATCTTAGAAACTAATAGACCTACAGACTTGAATTTTGGTAAGTTTTTTTTTTAAAGTAGAGATCCGCTAAAAGCAGGTTTTGCGGAAATCTCTCCCAAGTGAGAGGTTAAGGGGGGGAGCGTTATAGGTGAAGTTTCCTGTTTTTATATAAATAGACCTACATACTTGAAATCTGCCAAGCATGTTTTCTTTTCTTCAGTAGAGATTCTCTAGGGTTGTTTTTTGTGGAAATAGACTCCCAATGGAGTGTTATTGATGAAACATTTTCCATTTTTGAACTTTTACACCGACAGACTTGAAATTAAGGAAACATGTTTCCGTTGTTGAGTAGACATCCGCTAACAACGGGTTTTGTTAAAATCGATTTTTAAGGAGGTTTTTACCGGAGCATCTTTGATAAAAACTTTTTTTTTAACTATTAGACCTACAGACCTGAGAATTGTTGCGCATGATTTCTTTGTTGAGTAAAAATCTCCTAAGAACCAGTTTTGTGGAAATCGACTCACAAGGAAATTGCGAGGGCGTTTTAGATACAAGGTAGTTTATCAAAATGAAAAACAAAATTTACAAATTAGTTTATTTAAATATTAATGGTAACTGTAACCAAACCCTGTATGTGGAAGACCGATGTCCAATAAAAAGGTTTAGAAATATAACAGCGAGTATTTATACATATCCATTACAATATAATGTATCTTGTGTTGAAATTGGTTAATTGATAAATTCTTTCCAATGTATTCAAGTTATAATTTATAAAAATTAGTCACAACTGATAAATATCACGTTAAGTATTGAAAATAACATTTAATATCTTGTTGTTAAGGTTTCGGAGTCTTCCAGAAATAGTATTAGAGATTAAAAATTGCATTAAAGTTTATGGAATTTTTCTGGCATATTCAAATTTTATTGTAATTTTCGTATCGCAATTTAATGAAGTATTTAGCTGCTTACCTAAGTAATTAAAGTATCAGTTATCTTTACTAAAAAAAATGGTGCTGATACTATTATTTTTTTTCAATGTGCGGAAGTATGTTCTCTAATTATTGTAATGCAATGTAAAAAAGTTTGTCTTGATATTTCGTACAAATTTTTTTTTGGACGTCTGTCGGTTTTTTATTTTAAAATTTAATGTATTCCCTTAAAAGTATAATTCGAGCGAACATTTTCACATTATATGAACGGTTAATAATTTCGTAAAAGATATTTGGCTGAATTTAATGACACGGGCTTTTATGAAAAATTTTGTAAACTGGCAAGATATTGCTTATTTGGCGATGTTTTAAATGGAGATTTTGCTATATTTGATTTTGAGAAGGTTCTCTTGTGAAACTCGGTGGTAATTTGATTTTGTACGATTAAAGGTTACGTCAGAAGAGTGTGATAAAAATCCAACTTCGCCATTTTATTTATCATTTAAATAAAAACTTATTCTTAGAGAAGAATCGTTTTGTGATCTGAAAAAAATAACTTGGAACAATAATTTCTCTCAGATTAGTTAGAGCTTTGAACGATTCAACATCAAGTAATTTGAAGATTTTCTTTTTCATTGTTAGTATGACATGTTCTGCGAGAAATGTAACTTATTGCTATTGATTAAATCTAAAGAATATTGGGGAAGTACTTCGTCCGGCGGTGTCAACTATTATTACAAGTTTTAATTACGTAATTAAAAATGACCAAGCTCATCCTTCCCACATTGATACTTAAAATCTTGCATATACTGTTAATAAAAGGTAATGATCTCACACAAGTGAATTCAAAATGACTACACTTAAAACAAGAAGGTAACATGTAAAAAAAAATTAAGTCGGTTCCTACTCAGGTCAACAAAGAAAAATTTATTTCAATTACTTTTTATTAAGTAATTACAATTAATATAAATATATATATGCATATGTCAGAATCGCAATATTAAGTGGCAAAATAGAAAGCGATTTTCCTTGCGGTTTTCTATTTTCCTCTCTATACATGGTGTTGGTCAGTTTTTTGTTTGTCTGGTTGTTGCTATTTGTTCATTCATTAAATTTAATTATTCTAATGAAATGGTATAGTAAAAAAAATAAGTCACATTCTTGGAAATTAGGCCATCCCAGGTGGTATTCGAACACACGACCTTTGGATTAGAAGTCCAACGCGCTGTCCATAGCGCTGCAGGAATACGACGAGCGATTTTCCTTTTTATATATGGTGTTGGACTATTATTTTTATTTGTTACTATTTAATCATTAATTAAATTTAATTAATGAATTAATATTTGAATAAACTGTAACCTCAAGTGCTATCCACTACAAGTTTAAAAAGCATTTGAACTTGAGTGGATGAATAAAAAGTATTTTATTAACGATTGGAAATTTGAACAAGATATATACAGGGAAAGTGTGAGCTAATAATAGGAATTGAGAAAGATTATAATTAATGTATAATTTGCCATATAATTATATTTCATAATATGCTGTTTGTTAATTAAAATTCTTATATCATTACATTCAAATTAAAAACTATTGCGAATTTTTATTACTGCAACACAATAGTATTCTACAAATAAAACACGTATAGAAATACCGAATGATGTTGTAAACTTTGTCCACAATGCTTATGCGGTCGCACAAATTGTTAGTACCAAAAAATGGGGTCGTCACTCCGAGAAGTTTAAGATCCTCTGGTTTAGAAGAGTGATATTTTTATTCACTCACAGCGAAACCGGAAAACCGCAACACTCTTTATGTATTCGTCATTCTGCACATGTTAGCAAAATAAACTATTATTTACTTTGCTAACATATGTTGTTTTATCAAACAAATCGTACACAACTTAATGAAAAAAGCAGAATTCAAGTATCTTCCGTTCACTTTTTTTGTATAGCAGATGTTTCTCTTCCTTATTATTTATCATTTTTCTAATATGACGCGAGGAACTAGTTTAATTTTTAACTTATGAAATGTGTCCCGTTCTTTGAATAGTAATAGATGTAAAAAATTCTACCATTGAAAAAAATTCGCTAAAAAATATATACAGTAATGTAACGTTGGAAAGCAATTTAAATATATCAAAATATCAACTGGTATGTAAACAATTCAGTGACGCACTTAGATTTCTTATGGGAGAGAGGGGTTACGTGCTCAAAAACACGTTAAAGAAAACGGTGAAGTGTAATCTCTGTGGTAAAAAATTACTAATGTGTTTGTCTGGAGGGGGAGAGATTGAACCTCAATCTTCCCTAGTATACGCCACTGGAACAATTTTTTATATTTTAGTTAATTCAAAACTAAATTGAATTTTTAAAAAATTTTATTTTTAGAAATAACAAGTAATACAAAGGAAAAATTTTATTTTAGCTACTTTTTATTAAATAGTTACAATTAATATAAATCTGTATATGCATATGACAGAATCACAGCATTAAGTGGTAATTAATTTTTTTAATCATAATTAAAGTATCGTATTGACATCCAAAACAATAGTGTTTAAAATTTCAGTTCAACTGAATGCTTTAAAACGTAAGAAAAAAACCTTTTCCAGTTTTGACGCAAGTCGCCAAAAATGATGCCAACGTGGCTGTATTTGTAATTCTTTAAATGATTAGTTTTAATCAATTAATTTTTATTAATTATTATTAAATTACTGTGTCGTCATCCAAAATAATCATGTATATAAAATTTCAGCTCAATTGAGCGCTTTAAAATGTATTTTATTAACGATTGAAAATTCCGCCAAGATAAATAAATATAGAGAGAGTGTGAGCTAATAGTAGGAATTGAAAAAGTCTGGATAAATGTTTTATTTACAATATTTTTTGCACTATGTTGTCTCATTCTGTATGTAAACATTTTTACTTTTTCTTTTTACTTCTTTGCTAATATTCCAGGGGCGTAGCATATACCCCCGCATCGCGAGGAACCCAGGGCTGTAGGGGAGGCCTTAAGCCTGACTGACGCCAAGTAGTACGGCTTGGAGCCCCAAACCTGACATTGCAGGGGGGCGGGCTCTAATATTTTCCGTTACACCACTGTGATACTCTGTATATAAACTGATATCCCCATAGAGGGAGAAAGAAAAAAATGCTTGTAGTAATTTTGGAACATCAGAAATTATACATTTAATCTCTAAAAAACTTATTTATTATTTTCAAAATTTGCTACCAACTTGAATATTTGGGGAAAGGCACATCTGGTTCGTTATTCCAAAAATTATTCTTTTATTGAAGGTAAATCAACTGTAAAATTCAATCTGGGAAAAAGACATCATAATCTATCGATTGCTTCTAAATTAAGCTATGTTGATTTCTATTTCTATGATCTATAGGACACAAAGGGGAGAGAAGTGACCCACACACGAGATCTTTGTAACAATAAAACTGACAGTTTTGAAATTTGGCAGGCATGTTTTTGTTGTTGTTGAGTAGAGATCCGCTGAGAATAAGCTTTGCTGTAATCGACTTCCAGGAGAGTTGTGTGGGTGTTATAGATAAACAAGTAATATAAAAAAAAATTTAAGTCAATTCCTACTTTGAATGGATAAATAGATTTATTAACGATTGTGTGTGTGTGGGAAAATTTAAATAATATATATAATATATATATATATATATATATATATATATATATATATATATATATATATATATGTAGGGAGAGAGTGAACTAATAGCAGGAATTGAAAAAAGAGCATGATTTGTCTGCATTGTTGTAACAATGCACATCCTGTTTGGCTGAAAAACAGGTTTTAGACGCCAGCTTTTGTCTGTTTTAACAGTTACATTGTTACAACAATGGAGACAAATCTAAGTTGGCGACAAAAACCGATAATTAGTTAAATTTAATTTTTTATTAATATTTGGAAAAAACTGTATTAACATCAAGTGCCATCCACTGCAAGTTTAAAAAAAATTATTTGAACTTGATTAAATGAATAGAAAGTGTTTTATTAACGATTGAAAATTTCAACAAAATAAATATATAGAGAATAAGCTAATAGTAGAGGAATTGAAAAATGAATCCGTTAGACCCTACAGACGTTTCTTTTGATATTATTGCTAAAATGAGATTTTGCGGAAATTGTCTCCATTATCGCGTCGTTAAAGAATGTTTATATATATTTGGCTTAGATAGTATTTATGAATTTGCCTTATAGATATATCTATTTAATAAGAGGTTATTCAGTGATATCTATTTATTTGACTTCAATACATTGTTTGCTAATTCGTTCTTCCCTTAGAATTTAATTAGCAATTTACTTGAAATTATCCAAAATATTTTAAATTTTAACATCACTGTAATTTATTTTGTATCCTATCTCGATTTTTTTTCCAATTTACCCGCGCGAAGAACATTTTAATAAATAAGAGGTATAAAAGAACATTATTCTTTTAACTAATTCTTTATTATTTATGTCCCTGTATTTTTAAAGAATTTTTGAATATTTGAAATTAGCATATTCTACTTTCTCTTTAAATGCAATTTAAAATGCGCGAATACATTAGAGGTAAATTGTTCTAAAAGAGCAGGAATACCTACGATTAAAGTAGCAGAACTTTTTATTAGTAATAATTCAGAAAATATAACCGTGCACAATTTTCTATGTACAACAAATTGTAAACAGTTCGATGAGAATTTCTGAAGCAATAAAGCAGGGGCGGGGAAACTTTTCCAGGGTACGGACTACTTTTAACTTTTTCAAGCTGTTGCGGTCCACCCAGTGGCGTAGGTGTGGTGAACCAAAAAAAGGTCTACGATATGTATTACAACTGAATAACAGATACGGAATATGTACTTACCTCTATAACTACAATAGAATCAACTTACGCTTTTAAGACGGCATTTTAAGCAAGACACAAACATAATGATATGTAATAGCCACAAATAAAATATCAAATGATGCATTTGTTACGAAATAATTCAAACTACATTAAAAATAGCACAATTTCATCTAAAGTTAGTGCTCATAACAGGGGCGTAGCTACCACCGTATCAATGATACGGGGCCCCAACATGTGTAACAACAGTGCTATTAAAAAGGCTTTCTTTTCTAAGAAAGGGCCCCGAAGGAGTTTTGATACTGGGCTTACTTAGAACCAGCTACGCCAGTGGCTGATAATTATAATCAGTAGAAGACTTAGTCTGCATGCTGTCAGCCAATTTTTAATGTTTCGTTATAAAATTACTAGCTGCTAATCTTCAGTCAGTCACCCCAAAATGTCTTGGTGGTCCTTCGGGCGACCGCGAACGACTTAATGTTTACCTTTGCGATAAACTATAATCAAATGATTGATTGTGTTGTATAAGAGATACACAGCAATGACAACTATTTTACCGTTTAAGTCAGCAATATATTGAATTTTTTTTTGTAATCTATTGCAGGGTGTTCGTTGCAGAAGCTAAATACTCAAGAAGCCCGTCTTTGAATAATGCACCTTCATTTTATGATGTGTTTTTCAAGTTCCATTATATGTTTACTCGTCGTTACGTGCCATGGCCCCATGAATGCTAATGGTTTTCGGCTGGGTCATCAAGAAGACGATGATGGATCTGCGATTCATGATACATCACATCACATATCAAACAAGAATTTTACTAGACCAAATGAAACGTCAACAGGTAATGATAAAATTTAGTTGTTTAAATCAGGGGTGTCCAACCCAAATGACCTTGCGGTCCACTTCGGAAAAACATTATAATTCTCGCGGGCCGCACATAAAAATATGTACATTTATATCAGATTTGGAAGAAAAAAAAAAATTATTGGAGTGAAAATTTAAAACAAAAAAATGAATTATTATTATTATTTTCATTATTTTTCATGTATACAGACATAGATAATATAATAATGTTTATATAATATAATAATGCAATGATCAAATAATGTTTAAAATATTAACAGTTGCCATTTTCTTGAAAATTACGGAGTTCTTTTTTAATTGATCTTTCGTTACTCATTGTTGAAATTTGATTGTGCTGTCATTTTCAAACAATTAAGTATACATTGCCTTTTATCTTAACCTTCCTGAACAATTTTTTTTAAACTTTAAAAAAACATCTCTGATTGCCTCTTGCATTTTGGGCACTCCAAACAGAAAAGGAGGAGAAATGAAAGTCGCACACACAGAGAACCATGTACCATCCATAGTAAAGAATATGCATAGTGCAATTCGGAATTTATTAA